AAGGTGTGCTATATGTGAGAAAATAGTAAATGGTCAACAAATTTATTGGTCATTTGGCTGATGCAGTTTTTGTTTTTAGGTTTTAACCGAATGGAAAAGAAATGTGTGCTATTATAGTTAGCATTGTAGCTACCGAATCCGCTAGAAAGTAAAGCAATATAAAGTTGTTGATGGCCTTGATTCAGACGTCCTCTTGTTGTTTGGGCTCAATGTTGACTGCCAAATGTGCGTGGGGATTTGATATGGAGCTTGCGCGATGACGATTCCCCGGAATGCAAGTCTTCACAATTTCCAGTCCAACATCCATATGAATCCTCCCGAAACCGGGTGCTCGAGAGCGTTGCACTCAGCGATAGATGGCACGTGTTGCTCTGCAGTTGAAGTACACTCCAGTTCCGGTGACCTGTCGGACTGTGCAGGACGGATTACGGCAGACATGTGCTTGGATCCGGAAAAATGGATCTGAGATCCGATCCCATGGATCCCGATCCGAGATCCATTCAGATCATAGATCCAACCCCTCAATTTTGTCGAGAGATCTACTGGGATCATAGATCTGACCCTTCAATTTTGTCGCTAGATCCACTCGGATCATAGATCTGGCTCCCCAATTTTGTCGTGAGATCCGTTGGGATCATAGCTGATACGTAGGTGCTCAAAATGTTAACAACTTTCTTTCATAAGAAGTTATGAATACCAAAGTATGGTTAGAAACAAACAATCTTATACAAAGACCATATTAGTAAGGGCATCCAGTTACATTATACAGAATACAAAATAAAGGAGGCTCATGACGGTCACAACTTGAGAGAATTGAGTGACATGAAGATTGTTCACAGTTCACATACCAACAGAAAAGTTTGCATTAACAATTAACATAGAGGTAAGTCAAAGTAATGACTAATGAACAATACATAACTAGGTACCTACCACATCACAATTCATGTTAGAATCTACATAATGATATTGATAAGACAATCTCATTGATCTTGCATTAGACAACCATGATGATGAGGCTTTCCAGTTTCCAGCTACCACAATTGATTGATAAACAATAAAAGATGATACTGACACATGTGGCTTGGTTAGGTAAAGGTATTTCAATCTATTGAAAGAAATATTTGATAAAATAAACTGAGATATAAACAAAAGTATAAAAATATTCAACAGCCTGCGGAAGCGATGGGAAGCGAAATATCAATTGGGATATTTACCGTAAAATGATTATTCAGTATCTAAATTGAACTCGTGACGTCATTTCAAATAACAAATGAGCTAGGCGTTCTACCTTCGAGTATAATGAAAATAAATAAAAAATCAAACTGGAAATTCAAAAGTCCGGAGCTTTTTTTAAAGATTGTTCATTTTTTCTGCCTCACATGATTTTACGATACGATTGTTTGTGAATATCATCTTTGTAGCGTTGAATTTAATGACGTAAACGTAAGCTGAAACGGTATTATATGGCCCTGAGCGGTGTGCGCCTTGCATCTTAATTTTATTCACTTTTCAAAAGAATAACAATATCTTACGTCATTAGTTTAGAGGGCCTATTACGGGGAATCTTTTGGAATCATTACGGTTTTGGTCAAATTAAGATTTTTCATTGGTCAAACGATAATGACGTAATAAAACCATATTACCAAAACGTGACCTGTGAATTTCGTTTGTCTTTTTTTGGGAGGCTCTCTCATAACAAAAGCACAGCATGGCACCATACGTGGCAGCTGGCAGGATGCCAAAAGTGGCCAAAAGTAGGTGATCTGGAGAAGTTGATGCCATTTTTGAACTTGTAATTTTATTAGGAAAGTATTAGAGGTTGGTTGCTATTCTTACTAAATCGAAATTGTGTTGCACATACATAATAGCTCATATGAACATTCTGGATTGGGATTTCATACCTGGCAGAAGTGGATTGCTGGATTATTTTTAACAAAACTGACCTATTTGGCTTCCAGGTTTGATTTCCTAACATCTGTCCATAGGCGGCAGAACAGGGGGGGGGGGGGTGTGTGGCACCAGGGTACAGTGCCCCCCATAGAGTTTGGCATTTTAGCATTAGCCCTACTGGCGTTGCAGAAAGAATGGGACCAAAATGAAAATCTGCAGTGCACTGCTGCCACTGCATCTGTCTGTACTGTTTGTTCTTTGAATTAAAGTGGCTGTAGCTTGTTGATAAGATTGTCATCAGTGCTGTCATGAAAAAGTTACAATTGGTCACAAAAAGTAGCAATATGCATGTTCTTGGTTTATTTTAAATGTAGTACAAATGTTGTTTATTTAAATTCAAATTTAATGATGATACCTAATGATCACAAGTGGTCTTAACCAATAACCATGTCCACAAGTGATAATTCTCAATTGTATTGCACTGTAAGGTGTACAATTATGTAGGATAAGGGTTTCATTGGCTACATGTTGTCGTGAGATCCATACAGATCATAGGTCCTCCACAAATTTTAGCCCGCTGGATCCACAGAGATCATAGATCCGACCCCTAAATTGTGTCGAGAGATCCATTCAGATCATAGATCCAACCCCTGAATTTTGTCGAGAGATCCACTCGGATCATAGATCCAACCCCTCTATTTTGTCGAGAGATCCACTGAGATCATAGATCCAGCTCTCGGATCCAAGCACATGTCTGGATTACGGCAAACGGTGTGTACTGAACAGGGTGCGTCTGACAGCTCAACGGCTGTTGGGGCAGGCATTCAACCGGCTAACCTACCGGCCGACCAGACGACGGACCGGCCGGCGAGGCCACATTGCAGGATGCCGACTGCGGTTTTTCTGCAACGGATTGTAAATCTCTCACCGTTGTGGATAGATGGATTGCTCACTGTTAGCCTGCGGCTTACCAGCTTTCGGTAGCGAATTACTATCTGTGATTGCCTTGTTGCTTGTATTGCATGGCGTGCGGCGGACTGTTATAAATGGCATCTATGAACCGTTTCCAAGAAGCGGCGCCTCAGGACCCGTTTGGGCCCCAAATTATACACCAGCTCCGCTCCGCAAACAATAGCCGCGTGAGGGTCTGGCAGGCCGGTTGGCCAGCTGGGCCGATGGCTGTCGCACGCCGCCGCCATGACCGGCTCACAGGAGGAAAAGGTAGCACCGTGCGCCGCTCACTGACAGCCAATGATACGCATCGGGGCCGCGCGGCGCACGGTTCTCATACCGGTTTGGCCACGGCCGACCGGACACTGCAGACGCCGCTGAAAAGATGGCCTCCCAGGAGCGTCCTGTACCGATCGGCCGGCGACGATGGCTCCGAAGATCAGCGGCTTACTGCACGGATTATTGCCGTTAGTTTTATTATTGTCCAGCCAAAACATGGATTGTAGCGTTCCTGGATGTTCGGAAAATGCTGTCACGACCATGTCGTGGGCTTTGCTCTTGTTAGCGACCGGGTCGGACATCGGAAAAGTGCCGGACTTGGTCGCGGCACCAGCATGGCTGCGTCAGTGGCCATGGCTGCGCCGCTGCACTGGAAAATACTACTGCAGTGTGCGAGCGAAGGGACAGTGGTGCTCACGGAACGGTCACAGGTCGCTTATCATCACGATCCGAACTCTCTTTGGTTTCTGCGCAGTGTGTCCCCGAACACGGTGAGGGTCGGTGAGGTCTGTTGTTTTCAGAGTAAGCATAAACATGTGCGTATGCCCTGTGTACTATCGCACATTGGAGGCGAGAACCAAATGTTGCATGGACATGCCTCAGTCAAGTTCTTTTGTACGTACGTTTAGAAAATTAGGGTCAATAGTTTGATAAAGCCTTTTGTCATATTTTGCCTTGGAGTGACACTAATCAAGCTTTTTCCTAATAGGTACTCATGGCATTTTTTATTCCCGCATTACTTTTATAGCAATCCGTTAATTTGAATGCTCGTTATCATGTCCGTTTCGTCGTCGCTTCGTTTTCAACTATCAGAAAGCCAGCGCCGCCCTTGAAGTGGCTGCGATATCTCATGTTATAAGCAATCGCCAATCTCACGAGACACGGCTCGCCGGACTGCCTGTAAATATTTGTCGCCCAGACGTGCTACCAAGTTACTAGAATGGTGCATCCACGGGCCACAGAGACCGAGCGGGCGGTGGGTGCCATTTTACGAAATGTTTCCTTCCCCACGCAACGGACGGAAGGCCAATGATACGATTAAAACTGTGCCCGTGTGACGCTAATATCTACGAATCGCAGCGAATGATGAGTGTTGTTTGAATACGAAAATCTGTTTAACGTCTATTTTAGAAACTCTGCGTTTAAACGTTCGAGTCTATGCCGTCTGAGGTCAAAGACGTAGATAGCGGAAAGATACAAAACAGCAATGATTATAACCCTGAAACGTCTACCCATTCAAATAAGGAAAGGAAGTGCCATGTTTACATATATTTTGAGGATTTTTGCTGTTTTTTATTTGTTCAACTTAATCGGACGCCGAGCGCCTAGAAAGCCAAGAAAGCCAAGACCCATTTCTGGAACCGCTTTGTTATTGAAAACGCATTTTAACGCCGGTATTATGTTACGGGCCTTACAATGCAGCATCTTGTCACACCACTTACAAAGCGCAGTTGTGAATGTCTTATCAGTAGAACTCATCACAAATTCCTCCACCATGCCTACCTAATCCAGTTTTACGTTGTGAATAACTAATTAGAATATTTTAAAGTTGCTTAGATTGCTGACTGTGATTACCTTCCGCCGGGACATGCAATGTAATGCGAGCTAATTAAATAAAAATAGGGTAGTACACTATGTGCACACCTCCTCCGAATCGTAGCATGTACGTGCATGTGAGTGTTAGGGTGTCTGATGTGTCAGTGTCGTGTGTGCGTGTTTTTATAATTCTTATGTTCGACTTCACCTGCCATTGAGTGCAAGCCCATTGGTGATTATTCAATGAACAAAACAAACAAAACACACCAAATTAGGTATGAACCACGGCATCGTCAGCCACCTCGAGCCAGCACCCGCCTTAACCATTTGTTTCCCCTTTACAGGCCGCCGGAGGGCGTCCACGTGTATCGGTTGCGGCGGTGCCATCCACGATCAGTACATCCTGCGGGTCTCGCCGGACCTCGAGTGGCACGCCGCCTGCCTCCGCTGCGCCGAGTGCAACCAGTTCCTCGACGACAACTGCACCTGCTTCGTCCGCGACGGCAAGACCTACTGCAAGCGGGACTATGTCAGGTGGGTCACTGTCGCGGCTCCATGGGGCTCGCAGACGTCAGCTACACCTTTAGCGGGACTATGCCGGGTGGGTCACTCTCGCGGTCATGGGACAGCTCTGAGGCTCGAAGACGTCAGTTACACATTTAGGTAGGACGGCTCTTGGATTTGGTGCGGCACTGTCCTGTGTCCATAGAGGATGGGCTATGTGAGATGTGGTGGATGCTGGATAATCAGGATGTGCCTGAGGTAGAGCTTGGAATCACTGTTAGAGAGCTAAAGCTATTGTGTTTGCTGGTCCAGTGCGCCGACGATATTTCCATGGAAATATCCATTTCCATTGGTCTGACCGTTTGATAAAGCAGCTGCAGCTGCTTTATCAAACGGTCAGACCAATGGCGAATGGTAAAAGTCTTGTAGAAATATGATAGTTCTATTAAAAACAAAAAAACGATCAGTAGCGTTTCCAAAGAGCTGTTGCTGTTAAACTTCGCACCTCAGTATCAGATAGGTAGCGGCGCCGGTAGGCCAGAGATAAAGACCGTTTTCGCAAAGTGCCGTATTGATGCGGACTTCCTCATAATTCCTCGCCTCTCTGGTTGTTGAAATCAACAGAACTGCTGAGGTCGAGGGGTTCTTGTAAATATTTCTCTATTTCACCTTCCCGATTTCAATTCACACAGTTCGCATCATGTCGGAAATCCTCTTAGGCCCGACATCGGTATCGTTAACCCGCCCAAACATTGACCCGTCTTGGGAGTCTCACTTCCCACAGATTGACCCTTGACATCTGGCCAGTTGCAGCAGGCTCTCCCTCCAGAGCCCTGTGTACCTGCCACACTCGGCACCTAAACGTGTCGCTCCTTCCACTTGACAGCAGCTATTGTGGTTGGCAGAGGCGTTCGCGGGCCTCACATTTCTACATGGGTGGCTGCGGTGAAAGACAGGTGTGCTCCAGACAGGGATTGCTGTAGGGATGTTGGACACATTCCTGGATGATAGGTAGCGAGTGGGGTCTATGAGGCTAAGCTGGGAGCCACTTGGTCTTTCGGACGTGGAAGCCACTTGATGTTTGGGACGGCGCTTGAAGCTAGTGCAGTGCCCGCTGGGGTCATATGACGGAACTAAGAGACACGGGGCTTGTGTATGGCGGAGCTGCGAGCCACGAGGTTCATATATGGTGGAGCTGGGAGCCACGAGGTTTATATATACCTATCTACATATATTGGAGCTTGGAGGCTGGAGCCAAGAGGTTAGTATATACGGTGGAGCTGGGAGCCAAGAGGTCAAGACGGTAGAACTGGAAGCGACTGGGTTTATTTGGCGGAACTGTATGCTTATTACTATTTCCTCACAATGAAACTACAGATTTGTGGAGCCTTACTGACAATGACAGGATATTGTCTGAGCCTTGCTCTGATTCATCGGCTTTCGGCATCTTTTTTGCATGGCTTATAACAACATCCGCTGTAGAAACTCGCACTGGCTCCCGGTCGCAGTGTGATCCATACCGTTGCACGATCGATGTGGCCACAATCAGGGCCGCTCCTCTATTGACAGAGGGCCGTAATGCCCGGGGCAGCGTGCCCTGTGACACAGCAGCACCGTCATTACGTCCGGCCACACTCGGCCGGCGCGTTCCGCTTCATTCTATGGCCATCCGTAGGCCGTCATTACGCGACAAAAGAAGCTTTTACCCGAGCCATTACCCTTGTGACGACGCTGATCATAATTCAACATCGGCATGGAAAATGGCCCGCGGCCCTGACGGCGACGACGGACTGCACACTTTCAGAGAGTCATTGAAGCAGGCTGCTCAACAGGGGTCACGGCTTGGACCAGGGGGTTATTGATATTGGCTATAGTGGCTCATATGCTGGTCTTTCCAAGTGATGAGAAATAGTGAATGCACATTGCACAGACATTGCAGAAATAGTCATTTGAGGAGATTGACATTACTATGTGTTCATTGTTATTTCATGTAGGTCACCCATAGGCATGTAGCACAATTTATTTTCATTATATATCTTTAAATACCTAATCATTGTCAGTTATGCAACACCATTACAGCTCGTGAGGAATGGCATACACACTTAAGTTATGGTCATTCTTATTGTTGGCCAGATTCATTTATGTCTGTATTTATTGTCAAAGGGTGTCGCGGTCCAAACAGGGCGTTATAGATGCGCCTACGCCTATAGCACGGACGTGGAGGTGAGGTGGAAATGATGTGAAGTTACCGTGAAACCCCTAGGTCTAAAACGTGAGCGAGACACGACTCCTTTCTGTTTTATGCCTTCATACCCATCTTTTCAGTGTTATAAATGTCATCGTCTTCGTCGTCATTGATCGTTACCATAGAAAGTGTGATAATGTCACGCCGAAATCACGCTCACGTAATTTCAGTTCCCCTTTACTTGTATTTGAATTGAAAAACGGAAATGTTCTGGCGTTTACAGGTTCTTATATATTGCCCTATGTCATATGTGCCCTCGAATCATGCACGGTCGATGAAGTTGAAAGAAAAGAAAGAATATAGCTCTTTTGGGTTTTGAGAATGTATATGGCCCCTCGAGAGTCGACAGTGAGCCTGAGTTAAAGTATAATTGTTTCCAGAAGTCTGCTTGCGTGTCCTTCATGGCTAATCTGATTCCACAGACCACTGCCTAATTTCTTTCGTGAGCTGGCACCCGCCTAATTTCTTTCGTGAGTCGGCGCAACCACGGGACGGAAACTGACTCCGCGGGGCGACGGTCGGCCGGCAGACAGACTCACCCCAAATGAAAGAGTTTGGCACGATTCGTGGATTATTGCCAATATTAGTCCCCGATCGTCGATTGGTGTGTGTGGGGGGGACGGATGGCGATTAGAGGCGGCACGCGATGCGCCGGCCGGCGCGGGCAGAACGCCCCGTGTCTTCAGACGAAAAACAGCCCATCGCGTATCGATGTGAGCTGATAGGTGGGCGGCGTGGCGCCACCCGCCCGATCGCCGCCGCCGCCTCCTGCCATCGCGGTCATCTGGGGGAGGCGGGACAGGCCGGCAGTGGGGCCGTGTCAGATGGGTAGAGATGTGTTCCACGCTCACCTGATTTGCGTCTGATGAGTAGGTTCAGTGACGGGTGAACGGTTGACCGACTGTCCAAGTATGTTTTCAGTTATATCCTTACCCGGATATAGTTACACGTAGATATGCGGACTATTGGAGAGTACTCACTACTCATGACCCAACTCACGGAAAGTATACACTGACTGAATTGTGAAAATCCAGCCTAACCATCGTCAACCGTAGCTTGACGGTGGTTGACTGTAATTTGACGGTTTGGGTTGACCGTAGCTGCCGTTCAGCCCATGCTTTCCTCCCAGCGCGCTGACCTACCATAGCTGACCGCAGTGGCGCGGGAACCGGGGGGGGGGGGGGCTAGCGGGGGCTGAGCCCCCCAGCTTTTCGGCTGGGGGGGGGGCTCGTAATGTATTTGAGCCCCCCCCCCCCCCCCAGCTGGAGGAATCGAAATCGGAAATCTACCAACATAATTTCATAGATTCATACATAGGCGCGGGAACCGGGGGAGGGGGCAGTGGGGGAAGCTTGCCCCCACGACTCTGCGGCCGTGGGGGCGGTGCCCCACAACTTTTCATGAGGTCAGGAACCGTTGGGCAGCTTGTCCTCCCCAAATTAGGGGTTGTGGGTCACAAAGGAAGAAAGCATGTAAGTGAAAAAATCCGCCTCTTTCACTGGCTCGGCAACTCATTTGGCAGATTAAAATCTTTACTCCAGGTTGCCAAAACGGTAGTTTCTTCACTCAGCTGAGACGGAATGCCTCAATTTTTTTTGCATTTTTTCGTTTTTTTTTGTTGAAAAGGCCAAAATCTGAAAAATAAGTGGCCTAAAACCGGTGAGAAAACTAGATTTGGGGGTACCCTAGGTTGATCTCTATATGGTTCAGCCGGCAGCCCCCCAGTCTGGAAGAAGTTCCCGCGCCACTGCCTGACCGCCTTGTACTCCCTCTTCGGCAGGTTATTCGGCGCCAAGTGCAGCAAGTGCAACAAGCTGTTCAGCAGCACCGACATGGTGATGCGGGCACGCGACAAGATCTTCCACATCGACTGCTTCCGGTGCTGCGTGTGCGCCAAGCACCTAGTGCCTGGCGACGAGTTCGCGCTGCGCAGCGAGGCGCTGTACTGCAAGGACGACTACGACTGCAAGGAGCAGCTGGACGCCGGCGGCGGAGTGACCAAACTGGGCGCCAAGAGTCCCGCCGGTGAGTACCGAGTTCCGAGTACAGAGTACCGAGTTCCGAGCACAGAGTACCGAGTGCCACGAGTAGAGAGTACAACGTATTTGGAACTTTTGTGAGTGCGAGTGCCAAACGCTGAACGCTTGAACCGGGATAAAGGTACCGCTCGCCTATCGATTGTGCGTTATCATGAGTCGCCTAATTAGGGCCCACCGCCAGGACTATTACTTACATTATCTCTCTGATGCGCCAGGATAGGATAAAACCAATATATAATAACTATTTGGCGTGCCATAGGAAAGGATCGTTTAAGAACCATATCATAGGATACTTCCTGGTCCGCGCAACTCACAGTGCACACTACATACACGCGGCAGGTTACACACACTGCACCGGCCTGCATCTGTGCACGGCTGTGCAGTGAGTTGAGCGCCGTGCACAACCGGTGGTACTGTGCACCGCGTGACACGAACGGACTGTCATTGCATGTCGTGACGAGGCCGGACTGCAGGCTTCAATGTTGTGGGCAGCATAATTGGGAGGAGAGTGACGCGAGCTTTCCGCGCTGGCAACTGCCTTGCAGTGGCCAACGGCAGAGGCTGATGGATTGAAGTCAGTGCGGGCCGCGGCTGATGGACAGTGGTTAGTGGCCAGCGGCAGAGGCTGATGAACAGAGGTCAGTGGCAGATGAAGTGTGTGAAGCGGATGGTGAACAGAGGTCCGTTGATGATGAACTGTGAGGAGCGGCTGATGGACCTTGGTCATCAGTTGATGGTTGTGCTAAGATTTCAGAGGATGATGGGCAGAGGTCAGCAGCTGATGGCCAGCGGCGAGGCTGATGGCAGAGGTCACCGGCTGATGGGCAGTGGGCAGAGGCTGATGGTGAGTGGGAAAGACTGACCGATGTTTGTTGGGTAGAGGTTGATAGCTAGTGCCCCATGTGACGAGGAGCTGTGGTGACGACTGCTGGACCTTGGTCAGCAGTTAGGGGCCAGTGGCAGAGGCTGATGAACAGTGGGAGGCATCCGATGGGCAGTGCCAGTGGGCATTGGCCAATGGACAGTGGCTCATGGTCAAAAGTCGGTGCTAGGAGGCGTTCGGCTGATGGTGGCCAGTTGCCAGCATCTGATAGACATGGTGATCAGCGCGCTGATGGCTGGCGGTTAGTGGCTGATGCACAGTGGGGAACGGCTGATGGTCAGTGGTCGAGGGCTGATGGGCAGTTGGATGCAGCTGATGGACAGATGCCAATGACTGACACAGGAAGGTCAACAGCAAACGTGCTCGGGCTATTCGCAAGTTCAGTCGGTTGGTGTCTGGTCTGTGGTACGCGCAGACCGAACATCATGGAACTTCCTGTGCGGTACCGGCGATCGAATGTTCCGATTTAACTCGTCATGATGGCTGGCTTCCTGTCACAGTTTGCTCATTACTGCCTTGAGCAGTTTGGGTCATTCTCACAGAGATGAATAAGCCGCCTGAAGTCGCCTCGGCTCGGCTCTCAGCCGGGTTTCCGCCGCGGCTGGCGTGTGTCCGATGGTGTCCCATCCCACCCCACCCCAGCTCCATGGTCCGGTGTGTGTCATATGGCCGCGGGCCGTTCGGACCCGTTCGGACCGGCCGGGCCGGCCGCTCTGGCGGCGTCTGTGAGGAGCCGCGCCGCCGCCGCCGGCCGGGTATATCTGTCAATGCGGCCGTCGGTCGGCATCCATCTTGACGGGGCGTCTGGCGCCGGTCGAGCGACCGCCGGCCCGCTCCGCACCGTATCGACGCCACCATCTCCCTTGGGCGCAAAAACGAGCCGCCCTACCACACTCGGGGCGCCGCGGCCGGAACCGAACGGCACTCACAGAGAGGTTCACACTCACTGGGAGCGATTGAAACTCACCAGAGGGGTTCACACTCACTAGAACCGGACGGCAATCGCCAGGGAGGTTCACACTCAGTGGAACTGAACGACACTTCACGGAGAGATTCGCACTTTGTGGAACCGACTGGCATTCACCATAGAGGTTCGACTGGCATTCACCATAAAGGTTCGACTGGCATTCACCATAGAGGTTCACATACGATGGAAATGAACGGCACTCCTCGCCAGAGTGGCTCACACTCTTTGGGACCAACCACCATGGTCTCCAGGATAGCTCACACTGACGGGATCAGGAAGGCAAGACATGGAACCGATGGAGTGCCTCGCAATTTATGATTCGAGACCGACTCTCGACGAGGCCGAGAGTGACTGAAACTGGTCGGAGCCGACCCACAGTGCTGTGATTGACAATACTCCGCCTCCAGGACGGTCGTCGTTTTCCTGTATCATTATTATTTTAGCAGTGTGATATTCTCACGTAAATTTGTCTTTTACTTCTCATTATTCTGCTCTAATTCAACATTTTGCTTTGATTTTTTATTTGCGTGATAAAATCAAGAAACATAGTGACGTTTGTGAGAGCTTTCATTCTCTTGCTACTTCGTCTGACTATTTTGTGATAATCATTTGATAAATAGTTTCTTTTTTTGTCCGTTCCTCTACACAAAACTCAACATCGGCTGAAAAATTAAGACGTCATCGCCATCGTTGTTATTGTCGGCCATTTTTTTCACGATGTGTCTGTCCGAACAGCTATAACTCAGCTGTCTGAGCCTTCCCCCCCCCCCCCTCCTCCTCTCAGCTCAGCCAGCCGAGGTATATCAATGTATGTACGGGCAGCCGGCAGCACCTCGTCGTGCTCGGCGGACAGACAGTTGACACGACAGGCGACCGGGAGGCAGTTTATAACGGCCACACTGAATCGCTAGTTCACACGGCCTCTGGACTATAGGGGCTACGTCACTGGTTACTGGCTGTGCTTGGGATCAATGTGGAATGGTGGTGGATGCTGGATATATGATTCGATAGCTATACGAAATAAGAGATACAGCCGTATATCCAAGATATGCCAGTTGGATAGCTATATTGGTGGAGATATAGCCACACTTCCTTTTTGTAGGGGCTTGTTTAGAGCTATACCATTTGCAGCCATGAATTTAAAGAGTATGTGTAAACCAAACACTAAAGTTTTTTTTAGATATATATTTTCACAAATATATCAGCACACAGTAATCACGTAGCCTCAAAATATTATCGGCAAGGCTGAATACATTTCCTTGTGGTGGTAGATTATGGCATAGGTACATGTTTTAGAGCACTCCGTGCCGACTGTGCCGTACTGCTGGTCTCTGCGCAGGTAGTGCTGTGCTGCTTGGCTGGACTGTGCTCTTGGGACTTAGTTCCGTCCCAAAATCTGGCGAGCTCCCACCGTCCACCGTCCCCCGTCTGCCCCCGTCGGATCCCGCTTCTGCCGCCCCAGACGATCGCCGATACCCTGATGAGTGTTTGGGTCACTGTTTGGCCAGGCAGCTGAGCATATATAGACACAGGCGGCATGTTCAAAGCGACCCAACAGTTTGCGCTGATTACATAGTGATGACCGTTTTTGCAAGGTCGCGCAGTAGACGTCTTGCCTAATCAGACCCTCAAAGTCCGATCTGAACACGCTCACTGTGCACCCGCTTCATTAATCTCTAACGTCAAAGTTTCCACGAAATCCTGCAGAATTTGATAAAAAGAAGTGGCACCTGGTTGTCACGCACAGTGACAAGATGTCCCGGGCGGGCGGGCCCTGGGCTGAGTGTGGCGATTGCCTGCACTTTGGCGGCCGTATGTGAACTCTGCGGTGCGCTCAGCGCCTAAACTGACGTATCCAGCGGCCATGTGGTTAAAAATGGCTGCGCCTTTCGTGACAAGGCAGTGGTCTTGAATGAGCTGGGCGCTCATTGACGTGATGTCATTGTAGGCGGCGCCGCTGCGGCGCGCGGTGGAACGGGGGTGCGGGCTCCCAGTCGTGCGCCGCTCCGCTCGAGCCGGCTCGCTCTTCTCTCTGCCCCGGTTGCCTCCCCGCTCTGCCTGCCTGGAGAGCCGGGACTACCTCCCCTCGGTTTGCGAGTAGCATCGCCCATGGTCCTAGAGGTGGACATTTTCGTATGGCTTTTACTCTGTTTGTACTTGATTTTGCTGTACTTTGTGTTTTTCCGTTGTATCATTTGTACTATGTTGATTGTCGTAAACGACCAATTTGAAATGTATCGCGTGATTATTTGATAGTTTGAATATTCGATGGCTCATTGTTCGTTGGCGTATTGTTAGAAGGCAATTTCTGCAATACTTCTCAGTACTCGTTTGTTGTGTGACGTGCCACCCGGCTCTATTCCCGGCCATAATTCTGGATCATTCGCGCTGATGGCGGCAGAGGCGGTCGTGTCGTGTCTGTGTTTGCGCGAGCGATGATATGGCGTCGGAGATGTGAGGCTGGCTTGGAAGGATGCCTCTGGATGTATGGACGTTAGCCGCGAAGCGACCCAGAAGGCACATTTGTCGCAACGACTGTTACTCTCGAGATCGTGTGGGCTATCCACTCAGCTCACTCGGTCCAATAAACGGTCCGTTAAGACATACTGGATTTCGACACGCTGGGTCTGGAGATGCGGCTACAGTTGCGACAAGTGTCGACAATGGCGACGAGCTGCACACGGCAGAGTAGCGACTTCTGCAGCTACGCGTGAGGGCAGCTCGACCACCCACCGGGAGGACCTCGCAGCACGCTCACACCGGCTGGTGGCTCTGCTGGCCTCGTGAGGCAGCTGGTTTGCTGCTGCTGGCTGGTGCTGGTGAGGACTGAGTCGCCCCTGCTCATCAGTGAGTGCTCTACTTCTGCTGATATTTGGGGTAAGCGGGCTGTATGGTACTTGCAGTGGCGCAGTGACATTCTGATAAACGGTTCACAAAACAGTGACTCTGGAGGCAAACTGGTGATCAAATGTGAACTATCTTGCAAAGTGTGTGCCTTCATGGTAAATGAGTCAAAGAGAACAGTATCTGAGAAGTGACAGACACTTAGTGCATCAGTGTGTGATCATTTATTGTGCTGTGAGTTATGCTGAGTATGGTTTCCATTGTGTTTGCGTTCGCTGATCTACTAAGGGGT